TTTTTTGGTCTGATTATCAGTTATATATAAAATGCCATTTTATTTGTTACAGCTTACATTATTCTCTGAGCTATATTTATAAAATTAATAAATTTGCATAAAGCGTGGAATTGCCATGTGTACAAAATTTCTTTCAACGGTAACAAACTTACAAAAAAGGAATAATAATAATAATTTAAAATATTGTGTACTCAAATTTTCGGAAGTATCGTCATAATTGGATCATGTCAATATTTATTTTATATATACTAGGTAATTTTACTCTCAAAAAATTGATAATGTATTTATTTAGGCTTATAATATTTTAGATACTTTTACATAATATTTTATCATGTCATATTATATCTATATATACATACATACACACACATGTATATATATATATATGTATATATTAAATTTAAATATTTTTAGACATGTTTTCTTTACAAAAGAGTTTAGAAAACATCTTCACATAAATGTAAAATTTAAATGTTTTTAATAATAATACAGAAACCTTTTACATACTTTTACATGTTTTTTATATTTTAAATATACAAATTTTATGTTCACTTGTACAAGTTAATTTTATATTGTTGATAATAAATTGATATACAGTAATTATATCATATATTAAACCCACATTTTTTATTTATAATTATTATATAATATTGTTTACTCTCATCTTTAATTTATAATTTTTTTTTTTTTTGCTCTTTTAAAAGAAGATAATAGTGGTTCCCCACTTTTTTCATAGGGTGACCTGAACTCGAGACCAAGTTATAATTAATTATTATTTAATATTGTTTACTCTCATCTTTAATTTATAATATATTTTTTCTTGCTTTTTTAAAAGAGGATAATAGTGGTTCCCCACTTTTTTCGTTGGGCGACTCGAGCTCGAGACCTATTTATATTTATTATTTAATACTATTTACTCGTGCATCGCACGGGCAACACACTAGTTAGAAAATGTATGGTGTGGTAAATTATATCTATTACTATATAAAAGAGCTAAGGAAAAAAAACATAATTAATAAGTCATTTTTCCGCTCATTTTTTTGTTTTATACTATTTGTGGTAACTTTTTTTCGGAAATTTTGAATTCTCCCGCCTGTGATGTTTTTTGAAAATTTTGAAAAAAATAAATAAATTCAAAAATCTAAATAAACAGATCAATGAGGATTTTTTAGAGATTCCATATTATCTAACTTCCATACAATAGGAATGAGACACTTGTGCCATTTTTATTGGTCCATTATAAATTTTATATGATAAGATAAATATAACTCAAATTATTGACATTATTTTATATTAAAAAATAAAATAAAGAATATCAAAATTCATATTTTATTCATACTCTATAAACAGAGGCCACTTGTTAGAATATCACTTGTGAGTTGTCCCACATTGTTCATACATGGAAAATAGACCCACCTTATAAGACTAATGGGCTACTCCTCCTTCCATCAATTGGTTTTGGGATGGAACCCCACTTGTGCTTCATATGGGCTTTCCTTTTCCCCCAGTTTTTTACATGGTATCAGAGCAAGGTTTGAGACATGATATCAGAGCCCACTTTGTGCCTGGGTTAGAGACATGATATCAGAGCCCGACCAACTTTGTGTCTGGGTTAGAGACATGATATCAGAGCTCACTTTGTGCCTGGGTTAGAGACATGATATCAGGACTCACAAGTGAGGGGGCGTGTTAGAATATCACTTGTGAGTTGTCCCACATTGTTCATACATGGAAAATAGACACACCTTATAAGACTAATGGGCTACTCCTCCTTCCATCAATTGGTTTTGGGATGGAACCCCACTTGGGCTTCATATGGGCTTTCCTTTTCCCCCAGTTTCTTACACCACTATTGATATGTTGTGCAACGCAATTGGAATTATTATGTTGAGTTAGGTTGTAGATAAAACAATACCAAAAAATGTATTGTAGATAATATTTATTAAATAAATAAATAAAAATAAAATAAATATCATACTATCTTTATTGGGTTACCAACTAAAAAAACAATAAAAAAATAGCAAAATCTGCGACCCAGGTCAAATTGTGACTCTGGGTCACAACCTAGCTACAAGGAGGGAGAGAGAAATGAGGTGACTGGAATGGAGCAAGTGTCTCAATCTTATTGATCTATAATTTTTTTTATATATATTAAGATAATTGTAACTCAAATTATTGATATTAATTTATATGAAAAAAATAAATAAAAATTTATTTTTTCATTCTTTATCAATAGAGACCACTCTTGATATAATTTGGAACATAATTGCAATTTCTCTCTCTTTTCACTCTTTTTTCTTAACCGTAACTTATCAATTTTATCAATCTTTTATTTTATCATATCACAACTAAAACAATAACAAAAAACTTATTGTAGATAATATTTAATAATAAATAAATAAAATAAAATAAATATTATGCTGGGTTGAGTTAAGTTGGGTTTGAGATAAAAATATGTAGGTTGTTAAAAGTTAGATTGTGTAGGTGGAAGTGAGCGAAATAATTTTTTATTATTGGATTGAGTTGAGTTGCAGATAAATATAGTTTTATGTTGGGTTGGATTGAGTTGGAGATAAAGATATGTAGATTGTTAAAAGTTGAGTTGTGTAGGTGGAAGAGAGAGAATAATTTTTTATTAATGAGTTGAGTTGAATTGAGTTGTGGATAAATATAGTCTTAGTGCACAAAAGTTGGTGATGAGAAATCATTTTTTTTTTTTTCATGTGTTTTGGACATGATTTGGACTTCTTGGGTTCTCATTAATTATATTTTTGGAGATCCATTTTTTTTTTTCCACTTTTGTGTTTATTGCATGCTAATTACAATCTTTATCAAGCTTATTAAATATCTGAATAATCTTTATTTAAACCAAATTTCATTCCACCTAAAGCAAGTTTTTTGAAACTGCAATATGAAATTGCTTAAAAGAAATATTGGATAGTTTCAATTTGTTAAAGAAAAAAAAAAGCTCTATTTTAAATTTTGGATTTGTTCCATTATTTTATGTATATTGACAATCATAGATTAGTTAATTGATTTTAAAAAAAAAAATCAAAATAAAAAGGTTCAATAATATTCATTAAATAAAATATATCGCATAAACATAAGTGTTTAATAATATATAATTTTACATTATTTTTATTTATTTTAATTTTATAATGAGATGAGATGTAAAAAATATAAATAATTATATTTAAAATAAATTCTAAAAAAAATATTAAAATACGAACCCTCCGTGCATCGCACAAGATACTCCTAATTACACACTCGGTGAAATTTAGTTGGTTAAAAGAATAACAAACCATTCCGTTAAACGCTAGTATTTTTTCCTATAATCTCTCAAACTCGGAGATTCTTGAAAATACTGAATTTTATTTCAACAAGGTTCTTCTTGAAAAGAGTCCTGAAACTTTCATACAGTCGTATATACTGCCAAATTCGCTGCTTTGCATCTGGCCTGAGTTTACCATCTTCTCGGTTCTAATAAAGTTGGTACCTTTTTCATTTGAAAATTTGATTGCTATTGCTGTAATTCTTTCCTCTGTATTGTTTCATTAATTTGATAGAAAAAAAGTTTGTCCCGATATAACCATTTCGTCGAGATTTGTGAATAGTTGATCTAACGGTAACAAACCCCGATGGAATGGTTCTGTAATGGGACCGTAGAATCCCGTATAATTCATTGACAATATACTAATTTGAATCAACATTCTTTGATCGCTTTGCTTTATGTGTTAAGGGAACAAACTTTTCAATTGTTTCGTGTTATCGTTAGAACAACTCGTGGTCCCGTGTGTTATTTAATCGAGAAAGATTGTTTTTTTTAAGTCATGGATAAAGCTGATTCGAGCATAGAACCAACTCCCACCACCAGGCTTCAGGTTTGTTTGTTATTTTTGTATTGTGTATGTGTGTGTGTGTGTGTGTGTGTGTGTTTCCTTATTTAAAGTGGTTGTGTTGTGGGTTTTCTGTTTTATTTATAAAATTTCAGGGTAAGACTAAAGCCATTGTAGTGTGTTGGTTTCTTGGACTTGGAGCACTTGTGGCATGGAATAGTATGCTGACTATTGGAGATTACTACTATCAGTTGTTCCCGGTTGGCGCCCGTGTATTGTTTGTCGACAAAAATCTATCTCGGATGAATTTCTTAGAATATAACCTTACTGTTTAAGTCTTTTTTCACTTTCTTTGTAGCGATACCATCCTTCCCGGGTACTTACGCTTGTTTACCAGCCATTTGCGCTTGGAACAATGGCAATTCTTGCTTACTATGAGGCCAAAATCGACACAAGGAAGAGGAACTTGTTTGGATACAACCTTTTCTGCATAGGCACATTCGGACTTTTAGTGGTTTATAAGTTATCCTAGTCATTTTGAATCATTCTTTTTTTTTTTTTACTCTTACTTTTGGATATATTTGATTATAACTTGTATTTGCTTTACTAGATAGATTTAGCCACATCGGGAAAAGGAGGGATCGGAAATTACATCGGCATTTGTGCTTTCGTCGCCGCTTTTGGAGTGGCTGATGCGTTGATTCAGGGTGGGCTAATTGGTGATCTTGCTTTTATGTGCCCTGAATTCTTGCAGGTATATTAATATAACTATGTAAATCGATTTTCTCATTTTGCAAAAGAAATTGGTTTGCTTTATATTTTGTTGTTCGTTCTTGGTTGGATTTTTTCAGTCGTTTTTTGCCGGTTTGGCTGCATCGGGAGCTTTAACTTCTGGCTTGAGGCTAATCACTAAGGCAGCTTTTGATAAAACCGAAGATGGTCTTCGTAAGGGAGTTAGTAAGTCACTATCTCACTCTAAAATGTAATCTTTATCTCTGTAGCTTTCACGAGTACTACTTCGTAATATTAGTCGCTTAATGTTTATATTTTTAAAAAAAAATCATCTAATACACATTTGTTTTTTTTCTGTTTTTGTCGATTATGCAGTTCTGTTTCTTGCCATCTCGACATTTTTTGAATTTATATGTATTTTCCTCTACGCATTTGTGTTCGGGAATCTACCCATCGTGAAGCAGTTCCGGAAAAAAGCAGCCTTGGAAGGGTCCAAAACAGTCTCGGCTGATCTTGCTGCCGCCGGTATCCATACCTCAGATGAAAAAACTGTAAAAAAGCAGTGTTTAAAACCCACATATCTTTGATTTGTATTTAAACTGATGAATTCCATAGAGTTCTAAAAGGTAATTTCTGTACCACCTCCAGGTAGATGATCCGAAACAGGCTCGATTAGGCAACAAGGAGCTGCTACTTCAGAACTATGATTACGCATTGGACCTTTACTTGATATTTGTACTCACACTCTCGATTTTCCCTGGGTTCTTATACGAAAACACGGGCAACCACAAATTGGGATCTTGGTAAAATTGATCATAAGTTCTGTGCTCTTTTGGCTTTTCATGCTGTTTAATCACAAAAAAAAGTATCATTTTTTCATAATACTAAGGCTTCATTTTGATGAATGCAATGCATAATGACTCGGTTCTTTTTTTTTTTTGCAGGTATGCGGTGGTTCTCATAGCAATGTTCAATCTGTGGGACCTCATAGCACGATACATTCCCCTTATCAATTGCCTAAAGCTCGAATCCAGAAAGGGCCTCATGATCGCGTGCTTGTCTCGATTCTTGCTCGTCCCATGTTTTTACTTCACGGCAAAATATGGAGACCAAGGATGGATGATATTTTTGGCGTCTTTTCTGGGACTCACAAACGGGTATTTAGCTGTCTGTGTGCTGACCGTGGCTCCCAAAGGGTACAAGGTTAGTCGAACAAATCAGAAAAAGAAAAAAATCAAGAAAAACACAAAAAAGTTACGGACTTTATTTTATCCGATGATCATTTTTGGCGTTTAATTTGTTGTGGATGGGGATTTGGTACATTTGCAGGCACCCGAGCAAAATGCGTTGGGCAATTTGTTAGTAGTTTTTCTACTCGCCGGGATATTTTCAGGCGTGGCGCTCGACTGGCTTTGGATCATTGGCAATGGTTCATTCTAGGGTGGGTTACTGTAAATAGTTCAGATTAATAATAATTCTTCAGGTGGATAGAGTTTTCCAAGTCTCTAAACATGCAATGCAACTATGCAGTCCATGTTTTTTTTTTTTCACTCTCATTTTTGGTTCTCATTTTTCATATTAGTATGTGG